CACACAGGCTAAAACAGCCACACGGAAGTCCCAATGCCCGAAACTCAAGGGCACGCGCCCCCAGCCAGACGTGACTAGATAGTCACGGCAGTTAACCATGCTTTAATTCTCAACGGCCGAGGCTCGTATAGGCACCGAGAAAACAGTGAAGGCGGCAGTATCAATTATACCTACATGGCGACGGAGAGGCAGGGAAAGCGAAGCTTCAACTGAGTTCGCTTCTACCTACCAATGCCAAGACTGCATCGACCACAAATGCTTACATTCCACATCCCAAAACTCGACCAGCGTGAGCATTTAGAACTTTAGTCTCAATTTCACACCGCCGGCGATAAGCGGCTCCAGAGCCCAGGATAGAAGCCAATTTGCGGCCCTGAGGCTACCAAGGGCTAGGGCAGAGCCCCAGAGGATAATGTTCGTGTTCAAGAACTTCCCCTGAGTGCCGATGCCAATCGACGCCATGTCTGTCGGGCTGACCAACACAACAAGGCGCCGCTAACTAAGCCATGTAGCTCCCACCGGGGCAAAATGGCTCATCTCCAATTCGTAGTCCTCGGCGTTCATCGCAGCCCAGCCCGAAAACCGGAATTCAGCTGAGGGGTGGAGGTCGTAAACGACGATCAATCGGTGGAGCAGCGCCAACTCGTGGAACTGGTGAAGAGACATGAAGTGCTTGATGCTGTATATGTATCTTTTGTGTGTGAACATTATCTAAACATCTACACACTCCGAGAGATCGATAAAGCGAGAGAGAGAGAGCGAGAGAGAGGGACACAGACAGGGTGCAGATGACACGATGGTTGCACTTCCTGAGCCTGAACAGTAGAAGCGACACCGGCTGAGATAGATCGTTCGTCTCCTTGGGATGGTACGAGACGCCTGGTACACCAGTACACATCTACCAACAGTGCACATGCACAGATGTAGTGAACATAGCAAGACAATCTCTTCAGCGCATGACTTTACTTCTGTGGCAGCCGTTTCAACTCGAGTGCAAAAAACGATGTTCGTCCTGTGCAAGACCAAAAAATGCAAGGTATGTACCACTGAAAATGCTGCGATGAGAATGGAGGAATGCAATCAATGTCCCAGCAATGTGGGTCGAGATATCCATGATCGTGCCATGGCTAGTCTGCAAGGCACCCACCATCTACAACAGAAAAGCTGTAAGTTCCGCGATTTTTGCGATTCGTGGAACTAGCAAGCATGTCCCACAACAGCAAGCCTCAATGGCAATCTACCACAATCAGAACTCCAGGCAACTAAACCAGCGCAAACCTCGCCAGAAAGGCTGTTGAACTGTATGCCTGTAGTACAAGTGCCGCTGCTACTGAAGCAGCTATGTGATTCGAGGAAGGCTGTGGTGTTACAGATGTTTACGCTCCTACGGTCGGTCGCTGTGAAACAGCGAGTCGACCATGTCGACTTCGCAGTATGCAAAGCTACTCAAAAGAGAGTAGTCTGACCATCAATTGAAGCGGGAGCTGTTCGACAGACGGATGAATCGTAGACAACTGACCAAGGGGTTGCTGCGAGAGATGTGCGCGCAGTTGCATCGGAATGAACACTGTGTGTGCGAGTCTACATGGGAGACGCTGAATTGGCTGAACCACAGCACACATGAATTAGAGGAATGTAGCTGCATAAACTGCATATTGAGCCGCTCCTGGTTGGGGACAGAAGGGAATCCCGGCTGCTTCAGCTTGCTGCCGAGTGGCCCACATGAACTTTCGAAGGACGATGATCTCAATACATATCTCAACGATCAAAGCGTAGCCTTGGCTTGGCTGTACAGCCTGGTGCAGGCTGCCTCACGTGTGCTTGCATTTAGCAGCTAACTGAGCAGCACCAAAACGGCAACCGAGCAACCTGGTGGCAAATACCAAACACCTGAAAGAAACGGATCGCCTGCAAGCATCAGCGAGTTGTGACTGCAACATGCGTGCTCTCTTCGGCAGGACGGTGACATGAGGCGCCCATGTCCTGCATCTGTGCACATGCATACATACGTACATACATACATACATACATACCAGTACATACAAGGATAGCTGCCAACCTACATACCTACCTATTTACATGCGTGCATGCATGAATGCATACCGACCAACCTACATCCATCCATCCATCCATCCCTCCATCCATCTCCATCCATTCGTCCGTCCGTCCGTCCATCCACCCATCCATCCGTCCATCCATCCATCCATCCATCCATGCAAACACATATGGGGGTTGTTCTTTATTACTGTTGCAGCCCGTAACTCGAAAATCGCCTTGCGCTTCGCCCTTGCGCGCTCTTGCGCGTACAGGGTGTTAAACACATTCCCAGCTTGTAGCCTTGATAGACCAGCCGGAAAATAGCAAGTCCAGAATCCGGTTTGAAGATTTCGTGCAGGGAACTTGGGTGGGTTTTCAAACAACTGTCACACAAGAGGAATGGGGCATTGGTCGAAGTTGGAGGGTTCCCCTTGAGCCGCCGTTGCGCGTGCCTTGCGCGAGTTGCGCACTGAACCCTGTGTCTATATTATAGACATGGACCTGGTCTAAAGATATAGATACAGATACAAGTACATGACAGATATAAATTAGGGATGGAAATAGATTCTGTGTAGATACAGATATAGATACGTGCACAAAAACACGTCCGCTTTTGTTATTTTTGTGTTTGCATGCCGTCCATCCGTTCTTCCTTCTTTCCCTGCATGCACCCATAACGGCGCATTACTACCTGCCTGTGTGCACTTACCTTGGCACCCACGAGTACGTACCTCCATGAATGCCCACACTGCGCATCTGATCCCTTCCGGCCTCCGTGTGCTGGTATGCATATCTCCTCAGCACAAGGTAAAGCAGCACCACATAAACTGCAGCATAACACGCTGCACTGCTCGTCGCCGCTGCTGGTGCTGCTGCAGGTCAACAACACAATGATGATCTACAAAGCCATCAGCCACCATCGTCGTCATCATCATGACGGTCACCATCATCAGCAGCAGCCTTATGAGGGTGACCTTTCTGTTTACCCTGTTTACCACAAGCATCCCGTTTCTTCAAGGATTTTCCAAGTACCAATTGGTCCAACAGCTGAGCTGGCGACACTGCCGGGGTACCAAGTCCACATGTGATCCTGATGACAGGCTGTCATGCTTGTGAGGTGCTGTGCGCGCGCGCAGAGTTCTTTGAAATCAACCGAAAGCATGCCAAGCAGGAAAGAGAGGGAGAGAGGGAGAGCGACAGCAACAGAGGAAGCGAGGGAGAGCGAGAGCGAGAGAGAGAGAGAGAGAGAGAGAGAGAGAGAGGCGAGAGAGGGAGAGGGAGAGAGAGAGGGACGGAAGCGAGTGCATTCTTACCAGCTCAGCCTTAACATGCTTTAACCAATACTGAGTAGCTAAGCCATGCGGGGAGGGATCAGTTCAGTCGAGCTGATCTCGAAGCTGTGGATTTTGAAGCGGCTCACGGAAGCCCCGATAGAGCGTTCTGGGGGTTTTAGCTGCTTAGGGTTTAGGGTTTAGGGTTGAGGGTTTAGGGAACCCCTACAGTTCTACAGGGCCCTACAGCTCTCGAGTGCCATCTGAAACCACGAAGACAAAAAAAAAACACTGAGAGAACCTCTGCAGCGTGGCGCCTTGTCCTGCGTCTTGTGGCACCACGCCGGCACCTGTCTCGTCCGCGACACAACTTGGTTCAACTTAGCTGCTTCATCGAAGGATTTCCTTGGAAGATACCGTATTAAATTCTAAATATAAATATAAATATAAGTGTATTTGTATATATATATATACATTCTTTATTTGTTGATGTATTTATGTGTTTATGTTTATATTTATTTACTTATTTACTTACTTATCCATTTATTTACTTATTTATTTTATTTATGTATTTATCTATTTATTTATCTATCTATCTATCTATCTATCTATCTATCTAATTATTTATCTATTTAATATTTACTTATTTTTTATATTTATATTAATCTATTTAATACAATTGCAAGGCACCCAGGAGCTAAAAGCTTCAATCGAAAGAGGCCTCGAAGAGGGTGAGGAGCACCAGCGCTACAAGCCTCCGACATTTGACAAGATCTCAGCGGGTAAGTCGGGCCCGAGGCGAGTGCTAAGCCTAGGCCTAAGCTCCAAAACTCTCAGGCTCCAACGCACGATGATACCTCAGTGCCACAGAGGGGAGATGGCGCCTGCCGACCTTGACCTCGCCTGTTGCGGAAAGCTGACTGCAAGCGGAGGTACCATTTGTTAAAGCGCATGCAGTCATAGTGCACGAGGCGAGCAGCCTGGATGTCCTGCCAGAAGGCAACACGATCACTGTGAGACTGCTCGTACCGACCGCACACTCATGGTCAACAGTACCATGTCAGGAGTCGAGGGAAGAACTTGCGTCGGCATTGTCTGCTGCATCTTGGGTGCGTTTGAAACTCACTGGTCGGTGTGCAGAGGTCCCCGGAAAGCAAGGTTGGTCACAATTGTCTACAGCTAGACGGCGTGCCCAACAGGTTGCTGCTAGCTGCTGGCCCCTACATTGAACCACTTTCTCCCGCCTTCTGACCTCAGCCGCTCCCACATATGGTCCTTCGGATAAACTGGAACAGACTTTCCAAGGATTGCGTTCTCCAGCTGCCAGGCGGCCTCCCAAAGCTCAAATCGGGTTTCCTACTCCCGCCCCGCTGAGTCTTGCTCTTCAGCCCATGTGCGAATGCTGGAAACTGTCTGGACACGCTGCCCCAGGCATCCGGCACCTTGACAACAGTGGCCTTCCGGCTCCGGGAAGGTTCCGCCAGCAGCGGGACTGTAGACCTCGGACGCCAAGCTGCAGCCTGCCTAAAGCCCTCATGTCCATGAGTGGAACTGACCTGACTTCTTCAGACTTCATGCACCAACGTGTGGCCACCGGGCTTCGGACGCCATGGCACCCTTAGCAGTCAATTCGAAGGATGCTAAAAAACCAAGGAAACTCTCTTCGTCGTGATGCGTCTTCCAGGAGTTCAGTCAAGAGGCAGGGTCTCGGTACTGCGTGCACCACCGACTGGGACAAAGGGAGCCCCGTGGCGACAGGACAGGACAGGAGCTTCTGCGGTCAGTCTTGTACAAGAGGGGCTTCCACGCCCAGGAGCGCTCCAGACATGGCCGTGCTTTTTCCAACCGGTGCAAACACGACTCCGGCAGGTGCTCGAGCGCGGACACGCTGGAACTTCGTCGGGGCATTTTGCCAACGCATGGAACCACGACTCCTGGGAGCCCAAGCTGTAGAAACAGCTGCTTTTATCTGATCGGAAGGCTCGCAGCTTAAACAGACTTATGCGCTGTATAACTGTAGAATGCAGCATGGCTTCCAGGCATCGATTCCTACACAACATCAAGCGGCTCTTTGCATGCACACAACCCGTAGAAACAAAGAGCCTACACGGCAGGGGGCCGAAAGGACATCCAGAGCCTGCTCGAAACTGACGCACGGTCTGAGAGACACGGAGCAGCGGAAAGACGCTTGGAGTTCACAAGCGCACATTGCTAAACTCAAGTTGGGTTGAGTTCATCTTGCCGCTTCTGCGTGTCCAAGACGGCTATTTTCGTTGACGTGGACTTAGCAGCAGGGCCGCTTTTCGGAGATGGTGAAACCGCAGATTTTGCCAGGCAGCAGTGGAATCAGGCCGCCCTGAAAGCCCTCAGTGCACCTCCTGGAAGATATGGCATTCAAGACGCGGCCTCTTCACAGGGCAGCAGCCATGCAGAAGATCGGGCTTGCTCAGAAACTCACACAACACTCTTTCCTCCTTTAGACGCTTTCGTGTGGAACCACATTCAAGCCCCGCACGGACGCTCATTATCTCTGCAGCTCTGAATCTGGCCGGGCCTAACTGCGATTGCCAACTCGTTCTTGCAGTCGCTGAATTAACTGGCTGAACCTCGGCAAGGAGGTCAGACGTGCATCTTCATTCCCCGCAATTAGCCGCCATCACTAATGTGCTGTGGCATCATGTGCGTCATTCTTCGAAGACGACCCAAACGTTACTTCATGACACGAGATGTGCTACGCTCACAAGCAGCTGCGGCATCATGTAGCCCCGCAGAAATCTTGACCTGCGAGCCTGGATCTGAGAGCCCGTGCCGGGCATCGGCGTACTCACGCCGTTTGGTCTCATTGTCGCGCTGATCCTGTTCCAGCGTTCAATCGGCTTACTCGTTCGGACATCGACGGCGTGTTGTCAGGTAGGGATTGAATGCAATCCTGTAGGAAAAGTCTCCCCGACATGCAACTTCGGCAGCTGGAGCTATTGAGGCAATGCAGTGCCCAGGCCAGGCTTCGCCTGAACTTCCTTCAACTCGGCTCTCATCTTCTCCAGCTCCTGCTACGAGATACTTCGAAGCGCTTCTACACAGGATGCAATAAGTATACTTTAAAAGTTTTAAAGGGTTACCACAAGGGTGCTATACATTCTATACGTGTTACTATGGTTAGCTGCGCTCTCCGCACGCTGAAACAGAATCGCTTCGGGCCGTTAGATGCCTCCGGGCAACTGCTTTGAGTGACTCAACACTGAGGAGGGTTCAAGCAGCGGCACAGATTGCACCACATACCATGGCCCATCATCTCTTGTGGCAGATGCAGCTCCCTAAGGTCAGGACCAGCTTAAGCGCGAAACGACATGAAACGGCCCGAATCCTCAAACCCCAAACCCATCAATCCCTAAACACCTTCTTGACCGGCTGAGCCTCCGCTAGCGCCTGCTGTCTCTGCTCTGCCTGCTGTGCGCGCTGTGCTGCCTCACACCCGGCAAGCAGCTCGCGCTCGAATGTTTAAGGCTCTACCGGGTCTTGGTGTTGACGGCCGTGCGGTTTAAGGTGTAGGGATGACCACCAGAAAAGCCTGCCGGACCTCGTACCTGTGAGAAGCATTCGGGCCTTTCGGACTCCTTCAATCGAGTCTAGTAGAGGGAGCCCCTTATTCGCATGCTCAGATGATCAACCTCGGTATGCACGACGTCTACATGCTGTCAGACAGGGAATGCACAAGTCCTCTTACATGAAGGAACTCTCCGACGACTGATCCTTAAATCATCGCTGCTTCCCCAAGAGCATCCTGTGCAAACAATAGGACGCGGGAAGCTCGGTTTCAAGACGCGCGAGGCGCACGGCTCAATCAATTCTTTTTACACGCAAGAACCCCACAGTGTTAGCACACCGTTTGGGACAAAAGCTCGAGGAGTCTCATCTGTCAAGTTCGCTAGAAGGGTGCTGCTCGTGTTGTGAACATGCTCTCGTTGCGTAGCGTGTTGGGCTAGGGGGCCAGAGGTTTCGTGGTGTTGAAGAGTCTTCGGCTTACGTCAGACAATGTTGACTTTATGTTGTCGTGGGATTAGCTGAGCTTCTTAGATATAACATTATACCATAAACCGTTCTGTGCGAAGTTCTCGTATCGGTATCGACACCAGCCGTCATTCCCGTAACTGTCCATGGCCACGAGCAGAAGCTACCAAGAAGGTAGGTACCTTATCTGGTACACCACATGAATTGGCCCTCTGTTGCAAATCACATTGGTGTCTTCGTCGATTGCCTTTGCTGCCCTCGAAGTTCGATGCTCTGAAGCCGAAAGCTTGAGACCTTGGGACCCTCCGCACCTCCACTGCGGCATCTGACACCTGTGTGCATCGATGCGTCGCCGCGCGGCAGTTATATCTGGAGGGGCTGCTTCTCTAGGCTTGGAGACCAAGCCTCTCTCCAATCTGCACCAGCACACGGTCTTTTTCGGACAGGGCAACTTTGGCAGTTCGATGGGTATGGAATTGGGTCGGGATCAGCCCGGTGCAGCACTCCGTAGAAACAGGCACAGACTATTTGAGATGGAGTCACCAGGCAGGGCCTACGCTCTGCCGTAGTCACAGGCTGATTCCCGCATTGAATACACAGCCCGGTGTCATCGCCCGAGCCGACTAGATCCAGACAGAGAGCATCCGAGATTCTCACAGACCTTCCATTAATGAAAACCGGAAAGCCACTTAACCTTTTGCTTCAACACAGCGCGCTTCAATCCTCAACAGACGAAAATCTGCAGATTCAGAAAGCAGGCTAAGTGCAGAGCCACGAATTCTCGTAAGCTGCCTCTATGCTGCACTCCAGACAAATGCTCTCCTTCAAGGAAGTGCAAATATACCGAAAACATTACTTCCTGCAAGCTGCGACGGCGACTGGATGGCGAGTATGTGTCAATGTGTCACAAGTTCAATTGTGTATGTGCCTCACGTTCGTTGTGGACACGGGTTGACTATTCCATCCAGCGCTGGAGAAATTGCCGCAGTCAGTGAAACTTAGCAGACTTAGCACATGCGTCATCTTGCGACGGAGCGTGCATGTCTCGGGTATGTCCAAACTGCAAAAACGCTGCAAAACCACGATTGTATCGCCTCCGAGACCAGACGCTCTTGCTCAAGGCCAGCTTTGCTTCTGGCCAAGTGCAACAAGGGCGGTGTCTAGCCCGAAGAGATTTGCCTACCTCGACGCAGAAAGCTCCCATGAAAACCGTGGAAACTCCGCAGGCTTGTTGACGCCTAAAGCACTGTGGAGCTCTCAGCGGCACGAATCTCTCCCTCCAAGCTTGCCAAGCCAAATCACTCGAATTCCACCTTGATAAGCCCGGCAAGCGCGGAGGACACTATCTGGATATCCACCTGCTGTTTGCAAGGGCTCCATCTTTCATCTTGTGTCTGCTGACACAAATCCGGCAGAGACAACTGACAACATAGCTTGAAAAAGCCACATGCCGCGCAGTCGACATGTAGCGGTGTAATGCACTTAATACAATGCCCCGCCTTGTCAATTGCCGGAAATGTGAAAGCTGCAACAGAGGTCTTCTCAAGATAAAAGCTCAGGGCATCCCACGAAATGTGCATCAATACGACATAATTAGACCACGGTTGCTTGCCACGGCTCACTCACTTTTGCCCTCTTGCTCAATTGATGCCTGGGTCGGCACGTGCATGCTTGCGTTGCTCCATGCCACCAGAGCACAATCAGGATCAGGGGCATGAACAGCTAGCTATTTTACGCTCAGTCTTGCAGAACACTGACACCGCGACCAATGAACCGAAAGACGAGTGCGCTTCACTCGGAGCGAGTCCTCCTGAATCCATCCAGGAAGTGACCCAAGACGTCCTCGCGCCTTTGGGGTCCTGCTCAAAGCAAAGCTTGGGCCGGGGAAGCGCTTTGCACCCGGGACTTGAAGTCTGCGTAGCTTTCACGAGATATGCAAGTCGAATTTTGTGTTTGCGGAAATATAGAAAACACACGAGCAGAACCTCGCTCCGCAAGCCCAGGCTGAAGCGGTGAAAGAAGATACAAAACAATCGATACACAGACAGTCGAAGTCTAGCCGTCTAGCCCTTCTGATTCGCATCACACGCAGATCTGCCAGGGGCAACCGAAGCCCCGCCTGCTTTCTTGCTCAGGCCGGACCAGCCTCCCTCTTCACGTAGATAGTCAAAACCTGACACTGCGCACAGGATTTTGGCGCAATCGAAGCCATGTCAGAAGCCTCGGGCTATCCCCTGAAGTTGATACTGCTGGATGTGATTTTGCCACGATCCTAAGCACAGCATTGACTTTGCCTTCGGCTTCTTGCACTCGTCCACGAGCTGCAGCACGTCACCACGCAAACCGTTGACTTCCACGATGCGGTCCTTGGGCCTCAATGCCTGCCAGGATTGATCCCAGATGCGCGAGAGCTGGTTTGGCTATGCGCCCTGGTGCCTTCTCCGGGTGCTCCATGTTCCACTGCTCGATGAGGCCACCGGTGATAGCATCGACAGCCAGGGTACGACCATCCTGGTATGTTTTGGGGGCATCTGCAACACCACTCGCAAGACCCCCAAGCGACATTGCACAGTGTTCCGTCACAGTGCCACACCATGCCACCCGTTCCAGGGGCAGCCGACTCACTCTAGCGATGCAACTGAGCACAGCAATCATCTTACAGGGAGCCCTCAGAGAGATGGCTGAGTTGACACGATTCGAATCAAGTGGCTTGCCGAGGCGAGAAACTCTTGCGATTTCGACGGACTGCACTGCTCTTTACCAAACACTCAAGTCCTCATGATCCACGTCCATGCCCAAACGCTGCCCATTGGTTTTGTCCTGAGCACCACCGACAGACTCAACCTACGCTCAATGCCACTACCAACAATCAAGCTCTGCAGGGCGCAGCTACAACCACAGATTGGCAGGGCCCTGACCAAGACGATGATGAACTCTCCCTCCTGAGATGCGCGTCGGGATGGGCATAGTGGCATGGCCACGCAATGGAATACGTCGAACAGAGACCGGCCGAGCAGGGGTAGGTACCAGGCACGAGGTTGAGGAGCGACAGCTTCCTGTTCCACAGATCAACAGATCAGAAGTTCAGCTCCATTTCCGGTCTTGGACGGGAATTATAAGGCCAGGCCTCCACGACAGGGGTCTCCGGAGCGGTTGTTGGCGCTTCCTGGCCATGGTCTAATCGGAGGCATAGGTCCCGGAAACCCCGGGGGAAACTCCCTGATCGCAACATCCCCAGCTCGAAATGATCCTCCTCAACATCTTTCTCCCTCTAAAAGACTCTAAAAATAATGTCTCCACAGACCTTCTGCTCCGGCAAATCGGTGTTGCTGGACTCGTCCTGTCCCACTTTCGCTGCTGCATGTGGGCTCAGCGGATCATACAGAGTCTGCTGCGAAGGTTAAAGTGAACTGAATCGGCAAACAGTCTGATGGGCACCAACAGACGACGCAACGATGTAGAAATGTCGGCTGCGCCATCTAAGCCTCAAAGTTAACAACAAAAGTGAAGCCTGCCACCGCCGACTCTCCCCGCATATCCCCGAAGACTGCAGAATGGTGTCTCACATGCCCAGCCTTGGAGCAGCAAGTGGCGTTGCCCATGTTGCCTTGACCATGTTGGTGAGGACAGGAAAGCGACACGCAAACACAGGACAGACCTTTCTTCCAAAATCACATGCACCCGGAGCAGCCAAACAACCTGAACCCCCAGCGCCGCGGGCCTGCAGATGCTTCGACCTCGAAGATGCTTTGCACACGGTTATACCGTTATACCCAGAGCGGAAGGCTGAGCCAAGAAGGAGCGCGCGTCGGCTCTGCAGCACAAGGGCTATGACCAAGCCTAAACGAGGGCTCAGGTTAGTTTAGTTTGGCTTCCAGCAGACGTTCGTCATTGATCAGAGCCATGTCCCTGTTCGAATGAGAATTGTTGTAGAAGTCGCAAAGGAAGCCCGAACCGCCCTCAAGTAGCTGCTTAACAGAGATCTTCAGCTCAGAGACTGCAAGCCTTGACCTGGAGACCCAAACCCCTGCGCTGACTGCATAAACTGCTCAGTCCAGGACGCTTAGGGCCAGGGCCACGATGAGAAGGCCTGGCAATTACCCTTTCCTGCCCGCCTCCTGCAGCTCTCCGAATCTATCATCTGCATCTCTGGTGGCGCGGGCATTCTTCGCCTGATGGCAGTCGGACAGTGTCGCCGTCATGCTTTCGATGTCAAGTCTGTGGCTGGTAAGTACACAACTGCAGCAACTGCTTGCTCACGAAAGTCTACAATGTGCACGGCCTGAGCCATCATCAATGACTCCTCCAGATCTGACGCTTCCTCCTGGCGCAGCTCCGGAATCTCAAAAGCTTGGCAAACTCTAGAAAGCAGATCCAACACGAATCATTCCTTCTCTCCAATCTTTAGCTAGGAGGACCTTGCGACGGCGTGTCGACATGTCTCAGCCTCAGTCAACTCTCCCGCGAAGCGCTCGGCCTCGAAGGGAGGCTTCTGGGTATGGGATTGGCTTGGGAGCTCAGGTAGTTCGTGAGCTCTTCTTCATGCACAGTCCGGCACGGCCTGCGAGTTCAGGCCTCCCATGATTGCTGTGGATTTCGACTGGACCTGGCATCTCACGACCTAGCATCCTTCCTGGGCTTCTTTCGCGGTTCTCTACTCCACTGGCGCGGAAGACCCTGCCTCCTGAGCCATGAGGAGAGACCTTTCCAACTCCTCGTGGATGAAATAGCCGAGCTATTTCAACTCTATCGAATTGCTCGGATGATGTGTTTAGCGGAACCCTCGAAATGACAGTCCTCTCGCTCGTCCGCCAGCTTTAAAACCTCTGCTTGCGCCTCCTGCCTGCAAGGATGCAGCAAGGGCTCTGAAAGTCTTTCTTTGACGCCGAAATTCGTAGGCCTCATCCTAGCTTCTTCCTGCAAAGTCTGGTCCTTCTTCTCAAGCTCTGCTTCGGTTTTTTCGAGCTCCTCCCGATGCAACTCCGGCCATGGTCTAAAGTCGCGACATCTCACAAGTAAGATTAGAAGTTAGTCCTGCAGCAACTCACCTGAAGACCTTGTTCGGATGCCAAAACCTCATCAAGCTTTGTGCTCTGTGCGCCTCTTCAAGCTCATTGATGTACCTTCACGCAGGTTTGGAGGGGTCTCGATTGCACTTGGCGACATCCTACAGTTGTCATGCGGGCGTACAGCAGATCTACGGAGGCAGCCACACGAAAGGTTTAAAAGGGTCATTTTGGGGATGTGACTTCAGCCTGACGGAACAGACACGAAGCAGCCTGAATCAAAGCCCCGGTAGCAGCTCGCCTTTCGAAGCTCTTGATCACGGCAGTGTACTTCTGGACCTTGTCATTCACAATGGCCTGAATCTGCTCCACTGTGGCGATGTATTGGTTGTCACCTCAGACGGGCAATCCGTTGCAGTGCCTTGCCGAGGCGTCCAGACACGTCGTGCTCACCTCGTCCCCTCAGCCCCAAGGATCGAGCCAACCGGCTGAAGGGCGCCGACATCAAGGCTCGAGACAACCTGGCCCACCTGGCGAAAATTGTGCATGCTACATCATGGTTGCAAGGCCTTGCAACACCTCACAGCTCGCACATGCTCGCACAGCTTCGGCCAGGCCTCCACACTTCCGGTCGCCAAGGCCTGCGAGGCGAATGGCTTCAGCGGCAATACGTGCGCAGTGAAGCTTCCACAAAAGGCCTGCGAGGTAGCGGCGCCCGGCGTCTCAGGTTGCGGTTGCGGCTGTGCCTTCAGGCTGGAGATCTCACCAACTCTGAGAAGGTTTAAGTTTAAGTCACTCATGCATCTTGCATTCTTTGGGTGTGCAGCGAGTCTTGGATTTAGACGGCTTGGGGTGCTCCTCTCTGGCGGTGTCGCTCCCTTACGAAAGCACATCAAAGCCTGCTCCCGTCTCAGGATCTGGTCATCATCCTCGCCTCAGACATCACGCATGAGGCTCCCGAACCCTGGAAGCCATGGAAGCCTCGAGTCCATGTCCTGAGCGAGGCGCCTTCCTCTGGCAGCATCTTCACCAGCCTCGGAAGTCGACTTCCGACCCTCTGAGCCCATGCAACTTAGGTGGATCCCCCGAAGGTGCGACATGCGGTGGGGAGAACCGAGAAGCTCCTCCAAAGCCGTACGCCGGCCACTGCTCAAAAAGGAACCTAAACCCTTATTGAGAGGAATGGCTCATCCATGTCATCAGCCAGCTGGTGCAGCAGCTCCTGCGACTTTTCCAGCTGGGGGCTTCCTGCAACGGAGACAAAGTCTGAGCAAAAAGTGGGCGCACTCTGAGCCTGCAAGCTTCTGAAAGCTCGCAGGCTTCAAAAAAAAAGGCTGGCGCTTGAAACTGCTACCTGTGCCTCGTCTTGCCACATCCCGAGGCACTCGGATGCGATGCGGCACCAGGAAGGCCACCTGAGTCGACTGCGAAACCACGTCCCCTAGTTTTTACACCTCTGCAGAACGTGGGCAGAACACTGTGCTGGGCTGCCCACCTTCGCGATGGCGAGGATCCCAACCACAGCAAGGGCTTGAGGTCTCCGGCTACCCATGGCCATTGGAAGCAGAGGGCAGACCACCAGCACTTACAAAAGGTACTTCAACAACATGTGCGCAGGCTTGCGCGATGTTCCACATCCACACATTACGAATGGTGCACACTTGCCCAACTTGTGCAGTTTTCTCTTGGCTGTCGCACTGTCTGAGGATTGGTTCAAGCCATTTAATTTGCGCTTACTTAAAGCCGAAACTCCGGTGACGAAAGTTCGAAACGAGACACCGGACTGAAGGTAGATCACGCTCGGAGTACAAGGCCCTCCCCGGCCGCAAAGCAACACGCTCGATGCAGACGCAACAGGCGCTGTAAGCCCTGCACACTGCGCCCTGGCCTGCGCGAAACTGCACCTTTTTCAGCTCGCATAGTTGCACCACCCAACCAATCTTTCACAGAAAGAATCAGTGGTTGTCTCATGCACGACGGAAAAGCGAAAAACTGCAAGGCATATGCAAAGGTCCATTAACTGCAAAGGCATCCTCACCAAAGTTGCCAGTCAAACTGCCGAGACGGGGTGTCGATCGACAGACAACTACTTCACGTGAGGCACCAGGGAGGCTCTGTGCGGCTAGCTTTGGCTAACTCTAAAGTCGCACGTCGGCCTCGGAACTCCGGGCTACCTTCCTACTTTTTGCTGCCGACTGCAGGTGAACCTGCATCAGCTGAAGCTTCGTTCTTCAACTTCTCTTTCCTGGGACATCAGGATTCTGAAGCAGAAGAGCGGCAAGGATTCCACATTCTGGAAAACTCTACCACTGTGGATAGGAGGGGCTAGTGATGCGATGGTAGCGTGTGAGCTTGTGGCTCTGGCAAGTCTTACGACTCTCCAGGAGCTGGATTGGCCTGTCAAAGCTATATGGAAGGGACCCGAGCCTATGGGAATCATTGCTTGTGCTGCGTTGCTTTTACGGTGATTACGATGCCTGTAGCTGGTTAGGACAATGCTGGCTTTTCGTGTCCCCTACTGAGCATTGCGGCTTGCGCGAAACGATGATATGATGATTTTATAGATTCCGCTCCTTGACTATCCTAGTAATTGTATCTGAACATCTGTTTCTTCTGGTTCTCATGGTCGCCGCGGTCGACATCAGTGCGTGTCTTCGTCCTAGCTGTGAAAAATGGTAATGTGCTGAGTGGAATGATTCCCTCGATCACCTGGACGACCGTGAACCTTTCAATAGTCTGATCGCCACGATTTTGGGATAGTCAGGATAGTCCTGCTGGCCTGATGCTAGAAGTCTGACGAAATATAGTACTTATAGTACTGTATCTTGCTGACTGAAGTGCCCCAAGCGTTCTGCATACTGCCGATACAAGACTTCCCACTCCTACTTCTGCGACATCACATCCAAGATGCGACCGAATGCCGCAAAACATTACAATCCATTCACGAACTTCCTCAGCACATGGGAATCATTTCATCTGTGTCGTTCGCAGGCATCATGGGCACGAGGGTCCGTTTAGGGGCTTAAGGTGTCAGACCTCTGTGTTTAATTGAGAGTTTCTCAACCAGTTTCACACCCAAAACTATTCGGGGACCTAGAACGGGTTTGGGATCAAGGACGTCCCAACATCACCTCATGCTACATCTTGCCTTCAACAAACCCAGTGGCGTATTGACCTCTGCACAGGAATTGCATACTGTCCAGATTTTGTACTTAGTTTGGGCAGTTCAGGGTTCAGGTTTTGAACAGCTGGAACAAGACATGGCGCTGTTCCAAACTTCTCAACAAAGAACTTGCGTGTCGTGTGGTCCCGGAACGAAAACATAAGCCGAGACGCTCCGCCTGTGTCAGCAGCCGGCCTTTCTGAGCGACCTCCTCGAAGAAAGGTGACAGCTGGAAGGAGGAAGAGACAAGACTACAAGAAGGTCGTTTTGCGCAGGTCCTTTCTCTCAGAGAAACGGTCATTAAGTGCATCCGTATGCTCGCGCATGATAAGGGTGAACCTTAGCTCTTTGGCAGGTTACTTCTGGGAGAGAACTCAGACTCTGCTCCTGACTAGTGCTACCAGCTAGGAAATTCTGGTTCTGAGTAGTTCAGTGTGCTACCAGCGAGGAGTACCACACAGACTATGCCGAGCAGCTTGTAAAACTCTTCCATGACGTCGACAACGCGATCTCGAAAGCTGGAGTCTTTCATCCTTCCATCGTCATCAAATTCCTGCCAAGCCTCCGAGCTTCACCGGACTTCGGCAGCTTGATGCTACAGTGTGGATTCTAGCTTACGAATGCGACCGTGGTATGAACTGAGATTGAATTTCAGAATACCAAACCCTTGGCATACGAGTCCGACCGTGGTATGAACTGAGATTGAATTTCAGAATACCAAACCCTTGGCGGCGCTCTGGAGAAAAATTGCCTGCCTTGGGAACAGAGGACTGGTTCGTGCAGCACGGCATGCGCATCCACCGTGCGAGTCGTCTCAACTCATTGACGGCATTGAAGCTCCTTTGAACTACGGAGGGAAGTGTGAAGTTACGATGTGCGGTCCTGGCCTTGCTGTATTACTATACTGACTATACTGTATTACCTCTAAGAAACAGAGGCACGTTTCATGACTCTGCCGAGAGGCTGGCTGCCGCCATTAACTTGCAGCACCACGCAGGTTCGCCCCTAGCGCAGGTGGCAGAACACCACAATTGGCTCGCATGCACCGTATGGGCCGCACAAGCTCTGAACGTCACGGGATCAAACTATCCTGCTCTTCGGGCGTCTTTCCTGCGATTAGTCCTCCTTTCCCCCCGAAATAACATGCCCTCGGAACGGGTGTGTACTGGTGAAACTGTGGGTCGTGCAACCTGACCCCATTTCCGAGACCCAGCTCCTGCCTGCGTCGGGCGCACAGAGCCCGTGTTGAGTGGCAGCCAATCGATCTGGTTCTTGAAGGCCCCAGTGATGCATCCATGCATCTCAGGGCTTGACCACACGTGGCCCTCAGACCACTTCGAAAGGTTCCGCAACTCCTGGACCTTCGGGTGGTCCTCCAAAGCCGGGTCCCTCACCTTAGTCGACTTTTGTCTCGTGCTTTCATTTGCTTGCAAAGGAAGTATCAACAACACATAGACTCCCCAACATCTTGCCGGTGTCTGGCAGGGGTACCGGGAGGCCCATCGGATTGAATGTCCGCACCTCTGCTCCGAGGACCTCAGCTGCGAGAGAAACTCCCTAAACCCTGCAGAGTCGCAAGCATAATGCCAGCACCTGCAATGTTCCGAAATCGCCCCAGGACCTCACTTAGTGACAGGGCCCTGTTTAAAGAGACCTCCTAGAGGAGTCTGCCCCTATTTTTTGGGCACCAAGGGAGCCTCCAGGAGGCGAGCGCACTCGTGGGCCATCTTGCCTCCCACGGCTTCTAAGGATTTCTGGCGGAGCTTTCCACGGCTCTGAGCCGCGAGGGCATGTTTATGAGGCATAGACGGTTAAGGGTTTAGGGCCTTTTTTTTTAGGGTTTCGGGTAGATCACAGAGAGGGGCTGCTCCGTGTCTCAAGGGCAGAGCCAAGTCACGTGAGAACGAAGTCGGCCGAAGGGAGCCATAGAGGACCAGGATCCTGCGGCGCTTGCGCCTAACATGCTCCCCACGTCTGCTTCGGAACTCGGAAACTCCTGGGCCGATGCGCAAAGCGGGCGCTTGGTACCTCAGGCCAGTTCGGAGAAGGAGTCTACACGTGGTCACTTGGTGGAAGCAAACACAAAAGATGGTTGAAATTCATGTCGAAAAGTCCAGCAGCTTGCAGCCTCAAGGAAACTTCACCAACTCCCCAAAATACATTGACTACATGGTTACATGGTGCAGCACCAGGAACCTGAAACGCCGCAGAAGAAGCAATGTTGGCGCCTTGTGCACCGCTAGGGTCGGAGAAGACCTGAGGAGCGAATCTTAATGGACAGGGGCTTACATGCTGGGAAGGCACGAGTTTTGTAGCATGATCGAAAGGGCGGGCACACAATTGGCTTGAATGTAGACTCTCAGTGCTTCTGCTACCTCGAAGAACGAGCAGCGTGGACGAGCAGCTGGTGTCAACCACAACCAACCCCTACGAGAAGGATACATATTGCCATTGACATGCTGTTCAACAATCCTGAAGATCCGAGATGTCCGCAAAAAACGCAGAAGGCCGACCTCTGTGATCCAGTCATCTCCGGGTCCACTTCCCGGAACGTCCTTCCTGAGATCCACGGGAACTATCAGACTGTTTTGGACTTCGGGATACTTTGGGGTTCCTAGAACTGATATCAAATTCTAGTTTTGCGAACAACTCTTGAAATTCTCAGACGGAAAAATCTAGTCCCACGCGCCGAACACAGACAACACAGTTTGTTCTAACAAGCCCAGGGTTTCTTTGCTCGATGCGCCAGCCAGCTGCCAGTGCCATCAGCCAGCGGCTCGATATCATTAGCGCCTTACACAGAACGTGACAGGACCCACACTGACGCAGGTCGATGCTTCCATTTTCAGCCAGCCTTCTAAGGTGTACCGCGCTTCCTCCTCGGAAGAAGTACCAGCCATGCCTCTCCACTTCAGCTGAGGAGCACCGGACGCAGGCTCACTGTAGCAGACATGCAAGTGGCCTTGGAAAATCGGCTGGTGGCCGAAGGCCGAGGACTTCTGGCGACGGAGCGAAAACGGCTGCTATGACATGCTGGGATGTTGGGAGCTCGGGCAAAGGACGTCAGAGGACTCAGAGCGCAAGCTGCAGCTGTTACAAAGAAAGCGATTTCTGCTTATGTTGGGATGGTTGAACCGGCGCACTGGCTTTTGGACATCCAGTTCCGTCAGGCAGCAGGCACTGCTTTCCTAGCTCGAGTGCGGATGCATATTGCACCGATTTCTGATTTCCACCGAAGCCACATCTTCTGCTCAAACTTTGGGGCAGAGTTGGCAAACAACACCCTGTGCACAGGAAAACCGAAAAAAAAATGTCCGGCACCTCTCTGCACTACGCACTACGAAAGCTGCAACAATGGCATCGGGATAGTGCAATTGTGGTGGCTTCTTTCACGAGTGAAGAGGAATCCCCCAGGACAGGAAGCCAAGCTGAAGGAAAATCGGAGCATAGATCTCGACATGTTTCGACTTCTACTTCTTCTTGCCAGCTGCCGCTGCTGCAGCTTCAGCAGCAGCTTCATCTTTGAGTTTCTCTTTCCTGGGATTCTGTGAAGGGGCTGACGTGCCGAACTTCCGAACATTCGCACGCATCGACGCACTGTCCTATTCAACTGACCCGCTGTGATTTCAGGCTCATGGCAAGGTGGAGCCTTTTGCTATGGTGCTCCTGCAATGTTCGATCGAGGTGCTCAGCTTGCGTCAGCAGCCGACCCTTTTGCGCCACCTCCTTCGACAAGACAGAAAGAAAAACGAGGGGTTTAGTGAGATCACTGAGATCACGGCTTCAGGTGGAATGGCGTTGATTACAGGATTGGGCTCTGGAGGGCAATGCCTTGAGAGGAAGTATAGCATCCAGTCACCCCGTCAGTGGTCAGCATCGACTGACAAGGCAACTTTGGGGTAGCTTTGGCTTTTCCCTTTCGCCGTGACAGCAGTGTTTCGGTTGGCTTCGCCCGAGTCCTTCCGCTCGGAGAAGCGATCCACAAGTGCGTCTGCGTGCTCACGCATGATGAGGGTGAACCTGGGACCGCCCCAGCACTACAGCGGCTACACGAAAGACACCACCAAACAAAGGCCGAAATTGTGCTACGGCAGGAATTTTAATGCCGACAGTTCTTTTGTGCGAGGGGCTTTCAAAAACATTCCTTCAGCCTCATAGGCCAGCAAAGGCCAAGAGCTTACAACCACTAAACATGTCTAAACCCAGTAGCTTGTAGTATTCCTCCATAACATCGACAACACGATCTCGAAAGTTGGAGTCCTTCATCCTTCCATCTTCATCGAATTCTTGCCATGCCTGCCAGGGACTCGGTGGTTGGCCGCAAGCAACAGCTGGAGAAATCAAGGAAGGGAGTCATTCTTGATGAGCCGGTTTTGTGAGCCAAAAGTCACCGTCGTAGATGCTGCCGCAAAGCTTTCGATCTGGTGGAGAATTTGGCACCAATGTACAAACACACTGTCAGACAAGCACTCTAATCAGCCGGCACTGATGGAAACAGCAAAACAAATATGCGGGACTTCCAGGCCTTAGGAACAGAAGACTGGTTGGTGCAGCACGGCATGCGCATCCACCGTGCGAGTCGTCTCAACTCATTGACAATGTTGAAGCTCCTCGGAATCGCATGTGCAGCATTGAGACGGATCCGGGCAGTTAGATCTTGCATGCCGGTGAGACTCCAGGACATCGCTACGAAGCTTGAAGATTCGGTTCATTCCCTGCTGAAGGAGTGCAACCAGAGCCACTCCACACTTGTCGTATAAACTCGACTTGACACTTTGCTGCTCCAGCAGCCAGCACGAGACTTCTGAACAGTCAGGCAAGTGTCTGGCTTCCGCCGTTGACCTGAAGCACCACGCAGGTTCGCCCCTGGCGGACACACTTTGCAGGAAGTAGCCAGCCAAAAGGTGGACCGTGGGTGAAAGGTGGCACCAAGCACATGGATTCGTTGTCACATCCGCCTGCGTCGGTCGCACGGAACCCGTGTTCAGCGGCAGCCAATCGATCTGATTCTTGAAGGCTCCGGTGACGCAGCCGTGCATCTCAGGGCTGACCCAGACATGGCCCTCGGACCATCTGGAAAGGTTCCGCAGCTCCTGGACCTTCGGGTGGTCCTCCAGTGCTGGGTCCCTCACCTCAGTTACGAGACCAGGCCATGCAGCACGGAATGGAAGGTCGCTGGGCTGACCAAGAGAGTTCCAAAGAATTGTCCTATTCCGGGCCCTGCAGTTTGCATTTGGCGCCACAGCTGCCGCCGGCTTGCGGGCAGGCCTCTGGGGCAAAATGTCCGCACTTCTGCACCCAGGACCTGCAAGCACGGCAGCTACGGGGAACGATTACGGAGAGAGAGAGAGGGCTTTTTATACAGGCGAACACTATCTGATCAGATGCGGACATCAGCTGCGCACGGGCCACGTGAGAAGACCCCCAAACAGGGGGAACTATTAGGCATACACGTGATCTTTTAAACTGTACCTCAAGGCCCCAGCTCAAGCTACCCGTACCGCCTCGAGAAGCCGCGCGCACTCATGCGCAAGCTTGCCTTTCAGGCTGCCGACAAGTTAAGGGAAGTGGAGGGCTGGAATATTGACATGACCGACATGACTTGAACCTGAAGATGCCAGCAGAAATGTGGCCGGGCTGCGCGAGAACGAACTTGGCCGAAGGGAGCCGTAGAGGACCAGGATCCTGTGAGAGAGGTCTCCGAAGAATCTTTCAAGGCCGAAGTCGTGTGTGCACGAACCTCCCGGAATCCTATCAGCCTGACAATGCGTTTAAAGGCCGTCGGCCCCAATCCGCAGACTCTGGCTCAGCCCTCCTCGGCGGATGAGTGAGCCGGGCGCTTGGCACCTCAGCCAGAGTACGGCGAAAGTTCCCTTTCTTGGTGCTCTGCGATCCCCCACCCAAGCCTTGAAAGCTGCAGTGGCCGAGAGGTCCGCTCCTTGTTCATCGCTTGGATCTGAGAAAACCTGCCGGAAGATCGAGCGGAGTGAGCACTTGGGATGGCTGTTCGAAAGGATGGAGCCTCGTTGATCCAGTCTGTGCCAGGGCCACTTCCCGGGGTGCTTGCCCTGAGTTTAGCTTCAAAAGCATGTCAACACAAAACACACTCGCTTTGTGCTTCTATGCCATGGGACTAAAGACTTGGGGTTCCATCATGTTGGGAGCCTCCCCACGGATCCCCATGGCACGCCATCCGCACGCAATTCCCCGGCATTGCTGCTCGCGCCGAGCGTCTCGGCTCGGTGCGCAAGCCATCCGCCAGTGCCATCTGCTAGCGCCTCAATGTCGTTGCCACCTTTCCACTGGCCGACCACGGCTTGGCAGCTGCAGGCAGACAGACTGTATTTTGGCCACATACGAGGCCCATCCGAAACCAAGTGAAATGCAAACTACCTTCGAAGCGATGCAGCAGAAGGGGGGCAGGTGCCCCTGGGTCTGTCCTTCCTCCCGTTGGAGCTCGGCCGATCCGAAACTCAAACTCCGAAGCGATACCGACCCCCTACGCCCCCACGCGAAGACGCGAACGCAAACCCTGGGCCTTCCAAGTTGTACTGCGCCTCCTCCTCGGAAGAGCTGCCCAAGCCTTTCCTTCCAACACGGAGGCCTACGTTGCTACGCTCAGCTTGTGATCCGAAAGGTGGTCCTGAAAGTCCGGCTGTGCACGCCGCGGAGAAAGATGCCCAAGGCCGGTACCCAAACCGACGGCCCTGCCAGCTGCAGGAGTGATTCCAGGGAGGGTGTAGCTTGGAGATGTTCTCCGAGCCGTGAAGGATGCTGGTGTTTTTGCAGCCGGGCAGCCGAAGTCCACACCCTGGCCCGGGCGCGGCCGCGGGGCTGCTGAGAAGATCCGACCCGATCTTGCATAAGAGCAGCAGGGCAGTGGGAATGTTGACTCTCGCACTTCATCGCACTTCAAAGGCCTCGGGATGGTCAGGGACCTCAACACGGGTCTTGTCAGCTGGAGCATCGCACAGGCTCGGTGTTTGCACCTTCCCTCCTTCGCCTGGAGATCGTCTGGCGGAAACTCTCTGGCATGTCTAGTCTCTCAGCTGTCATGCACAATGCCTAGAGCTTGAGTCGGTGTCTGCAGACATCTGACTGACTTTCGGAAGCGGCAACAATGAAGAATCACTGGTGCCCCCAATGCCTTCATCCAACAAACAAACACACACAATCGATATCTGTATATATATATATACAATAACAATAATAACAATAATAACAATAGTAACAAATAGTAACAATAATAACAATAATAACAATAATAGTAATCAGCATCATCATCATCATGATCATGATCAAATATCTAAAATATAGTATATAACACATAATATATAATATATAATATATAATATATAATATATAATATATAATATAATAATATAGTAATATATAATATATAAAATAATAATATAGTAATATATAATATAATATAATGTAATATTATATAACATAATATAATATAATATAATATAATATAACATATCTCATGCTCCGTCGCGGTGAAGCCTGCATCAGCTCCTTCTGAAGCATTGCATTCCCGAGAACTCGACGCATAAGGCATCGCCCAAGGGCCAAAGCAGCCCTTCAAGAGC